GGGGGGGGGGGCAAAACAAAACAAAAAACTGATTTTTTGCTCATACCAACAATTTGTGAAAGCTCATTTATTAATAGAAACAATTGGTTTCCTTTCATAGAAATTAAGGAGTCAAGATTACTTGAATATGTATTGATATTTCAGTATTTCAACTTAGAGCTGACTCAAATATTTTATCTCTATTACTTGTATGTTTTTTTTTCCATATAAAGTAGTTCTTTTAGCATCATGGCTTTTAAGTGGCCTCTTTTGTCCCCTCAACCCCCTTTTCTTTTTCCTTGTTCTCATGTTCAATTTTTACATTCTAATTAGGTCAGCCCAAAATGGCAAACTCCAGTTCACAAAGTTAGCTTAAACAAGAATCAGAAGAAGAAAAATAAAAGATCTTTACATGATAATCCTTATTGTAGTTTAATATCTTAGAGGTGTTCAGTTTAAAAAAAAAATAAATTGGACTGGTCAAACAGAATACTAAATTAGTGGAAACAGAAGATAATTTACCAGAAAGGGGTTAACATAACAATGTAAACTGGGTGATATTAAAACTTGCAGATGCAAAGCTACACTTAGGAATTCAATGAGCAGTTTTCTTTAGAAAGAAACACCCTTCTTTTTCACTTGCCAAGTCAGCATACAAACTCAAGTAGCTGCTCAGAGGGCTTCTTCATCTACGTATGTGCAATGTAAACCTTGTCTCTTGTCGGTCCTTGTCTGCTATAGGCTTATTGCTGGTCTCCACCCACTGGACTTAATTTGGATAAGAAAAAGGGTTTTAAGATTAGTGAGGGAGGTGGAGGGCCTGGACTGCCTTTTCTGCCCCCTCCCCCTTCCTGGACTGTGTTATATAAGTACAGTGGCTTGAAAGCCACAGCAAGTATGGCTCTCATTCATAAAGTAGAGAGGGTGAATAAACTCCCAAAATAAGATTCCTCAAAGACTAAAGAATAGAGCAAAAGAATTGATTGTAGAAAGCAAGTCATCATCCTAGTCAATCCAGGAATTTGCAGGTAGAAAGGAGCAAATGGAATGTCCTTTGGAGCTGAAGCACCTGAGGCGCGAAGTTTGAGGTTGTTGGGTGGGATATACATTTAGCACTGGTGTTCCATGCTGTGATAGAACATGAGTCACGTTACAGAAGTGAAAAGCAGGGTTATATTTGTTTTCATTATGAAATAACGGATTACTACTAAGTATATTAAAACAAAAGCTACTATTTTCCAATTTTTGTGCTCAAGACTTAAAGCTAGTCTATCCTCTGCTTAGGTTTCCAGAGGCCAAATCAAAGTGGCAGCCATTTGGACTCAGCTAAAGAATCTTACCTGGGTCTGTTTCCAATCAAAGTCCTGTTACAGGAGGAATCAAGTTCCAGTTGATGTTAGGACCGAAACCCCTATGACCTATGATGATGTCTATGATCCTGATGCCACCACCTTCTCCAGGCTTCCAGGACTTTTGCCTAAGTGATTCCCCATCACCTTCAAAATGATTTGAGTTCTTCTGAAACATACAATTTCTCTACCTTCTTGTTTTTGTCATTAAAGGAGGTTTTGGATTGTCAGGTCTACCTTTACAACCTCACCTTTGTAGAGTTGGCTGTTGTAGAACTTGAGTTGCAACTGTAAAATCCTGTTTAGTCTCTCTATTAGTGTTTGATGAAGTATGAGCTGTAATCTTTGAGGTTGGAGAAGAGTCCCCGGTGAGGTGGTAAATGACTGTAAGTTACAAATATTTGAGAAGCTACGGGGGTACGGAGATAGCAAGTTCAACACCAGCCAGGGCAGTACATAGAGACTCCATTTGAAAAACAAATCCATAAGGGCTGGAAGTGAGGCGTATCTCTAAAACGCTGCTTATAGATAAGTTGAATATACCAACGATTACAGAAAGTTGGATTATGAGTTGGTACTGAAAATAAACACTGAATAGGTAAGTTATAGGTGTTATTCAGCAGTGCATGCCCAAAGTTCAGGTCCCTGTATTCATGAATGCATGTGTGCAGATACATTCTCAAGAAATTGAATGCAGAAGAGTGTCAATGAAGAGCCAGCTTGTTTTCTCCTTGTGTATTGTTAAATATTCATACATATATTCTTTTAGCAAAGTAACAAGAGAGTCTACACTGGCTGTTTTGAGTGTTTTGAGTGCTTGTGTTTGAAAATAGCTTCCCTTCGTTTCCTTGTTGCTTGTAGTGGCCTGCATCTTGGTGTATATTATTTTGTATTTTGTTTTGGAAAGATGAAAATTCAAGTGTTAAAACAAGAGTTAATAAAGAAAAAAGTAATGTCATTATGTGTAAGGAGTAAGGTTTTTCCCCCAGTCTGGCCGGTCTTGTCCCGCCCACCGCCACGCCAGCCCCAAATAATACACTGAGACTCTGTATTTGATATAATGCTGTTGGCCAGGTACTAGTTTCTTATCGGCTAGCTCTGTCTTAAGTATTAACCCATTTCTGTTAATCTAATATTTCCATGTGGTTATCTTACCGAGAGCCGGCTGGCGTCCTGGTCTCTCCAGGCTCTCCATGTTGACTCCTCCTTCCTACTTCCCCTTTCCTCCTTGTCTCCTAGTCCCGCGTATCTAGCTTTCCTATTGGCCAACATTGCTTTATTCATTAACCAGTATGAGAAACATATTTACAGAATGACATCCCCCATCAATTATGTAATGCATGTGTTTGTTACCTGACATTTTAATATTATTCTTTTTGATTCTCACTTAGTTCTTTCATGCTCTTACTTTGTTCTTCATGAAGTACATTCAGTTTAGAGCATGTGGGAGTTTTCCGTCCAGAATGAAAGAAGTGAACTGATACTTTCCATTTTAGTTGACATTATGCAAATGAATTCACATATACTTCTGTGTTTAGGCTTCACAAAAGCTCTTGACCTTATTCTCATTTTCTGATAGCAAAAGTTAACCCCAGGAGTTGCAACAGCTGGTCAATATCCTAGGATACCAACACAATGTGTTAGGAGCCCAGAGGCAGATGGGTGTTCAAGATGGAGCACAACTGGCATGTAAATTGTTTGTTGCAAATCCAGTGCTCATAGAGCCATTGTCTACTCTAGACTGGTGGTCTTGCTGTTCCTGACTTGTGTAGAACTGTCAGTTTCAGATAGCTGGGTTTTTCCAGAACTGGCTCAAGACAGGGTCTGAGGCCACTTAGGATGATCATAGGTCTATTAAATAATCGTCCTTCGGAGCTAGAGACTTCTCTGCAGCAGAGGGTGTTACACACCAAGCACATCTGTCTTTCCCTCTGACTGTGAGAGTCTCTATAGACCTCAGAATTTCAGCAATAGATGCCAGTCTAAAGCATAATAAGAAAACAAAACATTTTAAAATAGTGTCTAAAATACACATGCTACCAAATTTAGAAGTTAAAAAAAAAAACTTTATTTTAAAAACCATTTTTAGTAATAAACTCATAGGAAATCCCAGTTTGATTTGTAATAGTTCATTATAATTTCACATTCATTCAAAGTAATCTTAATCAATTAGTTGTCATCAAGGATTCCTGAGATCTTATTCCTTCAAGCCCTCTTCACCCTTCTATTGACTCTAGGGCATTGGTTCTCAGCCTTCCTAATGCTGTGACCCTTTATTACAATTGGTCGTGTTATGGTGACCCCCAACCATATCATTATTTCATTGCTACTTTGTAAATAATGTTGTTACTGTTGTGAATCATAATGTAAATATCTGATATTCTTATCTGAATTATCTGCTGTGTGATCCATAGGTTGAGAACTGCTGTTCTCCATCTACAAAGGGCTTCTGCAAAGGACATGGTACCAGTGTCCATTCTTCTTTGGGAGCTGAGTGGGCAGATACCTGGAGCTACTATGAGTTCTTGTGGAGGAGCAGATTAGCTCTAGTAATCTTTATGTATGATTCCTATCTCACAAGTGCTAACAGTAACTGTGCTGAATAAATTCTAGTTCTTTTTATTAAAATCCTATGGAGTAGATAATTGTTCTCTTACGGATGAGCAAGAGCAAACCAAAGCTCACATAGGTTCATACAAGAGTAGGTACGTGACCATATGCCTCTTTGGCTCATTCAGTGTGGACTGAGTATTTGTGGGTTAGGTTAGAGATTTCCACCCAGGATTTGATTAGCAGACGGGAGGCAACTGTTATTTGTCAGCTTCCAAAAGGAAAAAGATGATGAATCAGAGTGGTAATTAAAGCAATTGAAGGAAGATGTTGTATGTGGAGATGTGGGGAACCAGTAGGGAAGGAAAGGCACTTGGGGAAGTTACCACCTCCAGGTTTGGCGCTACCAGAGAAGAATGGCATGGCGCATGTAGCTACAGGGAATGACCAGCACTAGAAGTGTGTCGGAATGAATTGTAGAAGAGGGAAAACTCAACTTCAGCCTCCCCTAACCCACAGAAATCAAAGGATCCCAAGTGGTATTCATCAAAGGGTCATTCTCAAAGAGCAGAATCAAGAGGATTGGGGAATCCATCTGGGGGAGCCTAAAGGGTCCTCTTGTATCTGTAGGGAGAGAAAGCAGGTCAAGCACAGCTGTTTTGAGCATGGGGCGATGTTGAGGTTTATGTGGGAATCTGAAGGTAGCCGCAGAGTCTGCTGAATAGCCTGTGGGAGTCACTGTCTCACATAGCTGATATAAATAAGTGAGTCAGTGAGATCGTGACATCGACAAAAAGGATAGGGAAAGAAAGTTAGGCTGAGAGAAGACCTAGGTGGGTACATGGCCCTTCACTAACAACAGCTCCTGGATGGAGGCGTGTGGCTTAGGGAATTGTGAGCCACACCTTTGAAATCTTATTTTCTTCTTTCTTTGTTGCAGTGACTGCAGTGTGAGTGCCAGCAGATACAAAGACACCCAGGCAACAGATTGGCAACCAAAACTCCCAGCTTCTGGTTCCTGAAGCAGAAAAAAAAGACCCTAAAATCCTTTTCTCCAGAACGCTTAGTTCCCAGCATTCGCTGTGGGCAGGGCTCTCCTTTGAACTCCAGCAAGTGCAGGTGCTGGTGCGCAAGTGCATGCTGCACATCCCGGGCTCTGTTACTCGGGAAGAGAAGATGGCGATGGCTCCAGCAGCTGTGGTGGTTCCCGCCGAGTGGATTAAGAACTGGGAGAAATCTGGGAGAAGTGAGTTTTTGCGGTTATGCCGGATTCTCAGTGAAAGTAAAAGCCGCGACACTCTGGCTTGTAGAGATTTTCAGCAAGCTCTCTATGAGTTGTCATACCATGTCATTAGAGGAACTTTAAAGCCTGAACAGGCATCAAACGTTCTTAGTGACATCAGTGAATTTCGTGAAGATATTCCGCTTATTCTTGCTGATATATTCTGCATCCTAGATATTGAGACGAACTGTTTAGAAGAAAAAAGTAAGAGAGATCATTTTACACAATTGGTATTAGCATGTTTATATTTAGTTTCAGACACAGTTCTAAAGGAACGCTTGGATCCGGAAACATTGGAGTCATTAGGCCTAATCAAACAATCACAGCAGTTCAATCAAAAATCAGTCAAAATCAAGACGAAACTCTTTTATAAACAGCAGAAGTTCAATTTGTTAAGAGAAGAAAATGAAGGTTATGCCAAGCTGATTGTTGAATTGGGACAAGATTTATCTGGAAATATTACTAGTGATTTAATCTTAGAAATTCTCAAATCTTTAATAGGATGCTTCAATCTGGATCCCAATCGAGTTTTGGATATCATCTTAGAAGTGTTTGAATGCAGGCCAGAACACCATGATTTCTTTATAGCTTTATTAGAAGCTTACATGGGTATGTGTGAACCACAAACACTGTGTCATATTCTTGGGTTCAAATTCAAGTTTTACCAGGAACCAAATGGTGAGACTCCATCATCCTTGTACACAGTTGCAGCAGTACTTCTACAGTTTAATCTTATTGATTTGGATGGTCTTTATGTACACCTTCTTCCAGCTGATACTTGCATTGTGAATGAATACAAACGAGAAATTGTGGAAGCTAAGCACATTGTTAGGAAACTTACAATGGTTGTATTGCCTTCTGACAAAAGTGATGAACGAGAGAAAGAAAAGAAAAAAGATGACAAAGTAGAGAAGGCATCTGACAATCAAAAACTTGGTTTGTTGGAAGCTTTGTTAGTTATTGGTGATTGGCAGCATGCACAGAGTATTATGGATCGAATGCCTCCGTACTATGCAGCATCACATAAAGTAATAGCCCTTGCTATTTGCAATCTTATACATATAACTATTGAGCCTCTTTACCGAAGAGTTGGTGTTCCAAAGGGTGCTAAAGGCTCACCTATCAATGCTTTACAAAACAAGAAGTCGCCAAAGCCAGTGGAGAGCTTTGAAGACTTAAGGAGAGATGTTTTCAGTATGTTCTGCTATCTTGGTCCTTACCTTTCTCATGATCCCATCTTATTGGCAAAGGTTGTGCGCATAGGCAAGTCATTTATGAAGGAATTTCAGTCTGATGGGAAACAAGAAAATAAAGAGAAGTTGGAAGTTATCTTTAGTTGCTTGCTTAGCATTACTGACCAGGTACTCCTTCCATCTCTCTCTTTAATGGATTGCAATGCGTGTATGTCAGAGGAACTATGGGGAATGTTTAAAACATTTCCTTATCAGCATAGATACCGATTATATGGTCAGTGGAAGAATGAGACTTACCACAGTCACCCACTTTTAGTAAAAGTTAAAGCCTATACAGTAGACAGAGCCAAGTACATCATGAAGCGTCTAACCAAGGAAAATGTGAAGCCTTCAGGGAGACAAATTGGGAAACTGAGCCACAGCAATCCAACCATTTTGTTTGATTATGTCTTGTCACAAATACAGAAGTATGATAACTTAATAACACCTGTGGTAGATTCATTGAAATATCTGACTGCGTTGAATTATGATGTTTTGGCCTATTGTATTATCGAAGCTTTAGCTAACCCAGAAAAAGAAAGAATGAAGCATGATGACACAACCATCTCAAGCTGGCTTCAGAGTCTGGCTAGTTTTTGTGGAGCAGTTTTTCGTAAATACCCTATTGATCTGGCTGGTCTTCTTCAGTATGTAGCCAATCAATTAAAGGCAGGCAAAAGCTTTGATTTGCTTATATTGAAAGAAGTGGTACAAAAAATGGCAGGAATAGAAGTTACTGAGGAAATGACAGCAGAGCAGCTGGAGGCCATGACTGGTGGGGAGCAACTGAAAGCTGAGGGTGGATATTTTGGCCAGATAAGAAACACTAAAAAATCTTCTCAGCGATTGAAGGATGCGCTACTGGACCATGATCTTGCCCTTCCTCTTTGTTTGCTTATGGCTCAGCAGAGGAATGGGGTGATCTTTCAGGAAGGTGGAGAGAAACATTTGAAACTTGTAGGAAAGTTGTATGACCAGTGTCATGATACTTTGGTACAGTTTGGTGGGTTTTTAGCATCAAATTTAAGCACAGATGATTACATAAAGAGAGTGCCTTCGATTGATGTGCTGTGTAATGAATTTCATACACCCCACGATGCAGCCTTTTTTCTGTCTAGGCCAATGTATGCACACCATATTTCATCAAAGTATGATGAACTTAAGAAGTCAGAAAAGGGTAGTAAACAGCAGCATAAAGTTCACAAGTACATTACAGCATGTGAGATGGTGATGGCTCCTGTCCATGAAGCAGTGGTCTCCTTACATGTTTCCAAAGTATGGGAAGATATCAGCCCTCAGTTCTATACCACATTCTGGTCTCTGACAATGTATGACCTTGCAGTTCCACATACCAGCTATGAACGAGAGGTTAATAAACTTAAGATCCAGATGAAAGCAATTGATGACAATCAAGAAATGCCTCTGAATAAAAAGAAAAAAGAGAAAGAGCGCTGCACTGCCCTTCAGGACAAGCTTCTTGAAGAAGAAAAGAAGCAAATGGAGCATGTACAGCGAGTTCTACAGAGACTAAAGCTGGAAAAGGATAACTGGCTCTTAGCAAAATCTACTAAAAATGAGACCATCACAAAGTTTCTCCAGTTGTGTATATTTCCTCGATGTATTTTTTCAGCAATCGATTCTGTTTACTGTGCTCATTTTGTTGAGTTGGTTCATCAGCAGAAGACTCCAAATTTCTCCACACTTCTCTGCTATGACCGAGTTTTCTCTGATATAATTTACATGGTTGCTAGCTTTACTGAAAATGAAGCTAGTCGATATGGGAGATTTCTTTGCTGCATGTTAGAGACTGTGACTAGATGGCATAGCGACAGGTCCACCTACGAGAAGGAATGTGGGAACTATCCAGGGTTCCTTACTATATTACGAGCAACTGGATTTGATGGTGGAAATAAAGCTGATCAGTTAGATTATGAGAATTTTCGACATGTTGTCCATAAATGGCATTATAAACTAACCAAGGCATCAGTACACTGCCTGGAGACAGGCGAATATACTCATATCAGGAATATCTTGATTGTGCTAACAAAAATACTGCCGTGGTACCCCAAAGTTTTAAATCTGGGTCAGGCATTGGAAAGAAGAGTGCATAAAATCTGTCAAGAAGAGAAAGAAAAGAAGCCAGATCTGTATGCACTAGCAATGGTTTACTCTGGGCAGCTGAAAAGTAGAAAGTCACACATGATTCCTGAAAATGAATTTCATCACAAAGATCCTCCTCCGAGAAATGCTGCTACAAGTATGCAAAATGGTCCTTGTAGTGGGCTGCAGTTGTCTATAGGAAGTATATCAAAGTCAGATGAGAGCAGTACTGAGGAGACTGACAAGGCCCGGGAAAGGACTCAGTGTGGTGTGAAAGCTCTTAGTAAAGTTTCTAGCACCACACCAAAAGGGAATTCAAACAATGGAAATAGTGGCTCCAATGCCAAAGCTGTTAAGGAAAATGACAAAGAGAAGGGCAAAGAGAAAGAAAAAGAGAAAAAAGAAAAGACTCTAACTGTTACTCCAGAGACTAGGGTGCTTGGTAAAGACAATAAAGAAAAACCCAAGGAGGAACAGCCAAATAAAGATGAAAAGATACGAGAGACCAAGGAAAGAATGTCTAAATCTGACAAAGATAAGGAAAAATTAAAGAAGGAGGAAAAAGCTAAAGATGAGAAATTCAGGATCATTGTCCCCAATGTAGAATCAAAATCCTCTCAAGAAAGAGAAAAAGAGAAAGAGCCATCCAAAGAAAGAGACTTAATAAAGGAGATAAAATCAAAAGAAAATGTTAAAGGAGGAGAAAAAACACTACTTTCTGGGTCCTTGAAATCACCTATTTCCCGAACAGATAATTTAGAGCCCGAAAGAGAAAAACGTCGCAAGGTTGATTCCCATCCTTCTCCATCACATTCTTCCACAATAAAAGACAGTCTCATCAAACTCAAGGAGTCTTCAGCAAAGCTCTACATCAACCATGCTCCACTACCATTGTGTAAGAGTAAGGAGAGAGAAACGGACAAGAAAGATTTGGATAAGTCAAGAGAAAGATCCAGAGAAAGAGAGAAAAAAGATGAAAAGGACCGGAAAGACCGGAAAAGGGATTATTCAAACAATGACCGGGAAGTGCCCTTAGACTTGGTCAAAAGGCGGAAAGATGAAAATGGAATATTGGGGATTTCAAAACACAAAAGTGAAAGTCCCTGCGAGTCTCCTTATCCAAGTGAAAAAGAGAAAGAAAAAACTAAGTCAAAATCCTCAGGCAAAGAAAAAGGTGATTGCTTTAAACCTGAAAAGATGGATAAGCTATCCAGTGGGAAGAAGGAGTCTGGACATGATAAAGAGAAGGTAGAGAAGAGAGAGAAGTGGGAGGGCTGTGGAGATAAGGAAGACAAGAAGCATCATAAGTCCTCAGACAAGCACAGATAATGCAGACTTCCAGCCAACAGTGGTTCCCCGGCCAAGGCTGCCAGAGCTCTGTGTCACTCAAAACTTAATTAGGAGCTTCTGGTGCTGTCCATCTTACGAGAATCTGCTTACATCAGAAGATGAATGTGCATCACCATCCTCTTGAGACATTTCAAAGTCACTGGTTTTCAGAACATTATTTTCACCTTCAGGCAGTTTCTTGCAGCAAGATCCCTGTGCGTACATTTTTTTTTTTTTTTTCTTGAAATAACAACACCCAGAAACAGCATCTATGAAATTTCACCAGCTGAGTCTTGGATCACCCTTAGACAGGTTAGTTTATTGTTTCCTGGGCTGAATGCCTTGGTGTAGGGAAGGATGAATTTGTGTGTAAAATATAATTGACAACATTGGAATAATTGTTACCTGGTAATTTTGGCTTCTTGCAAAAATTGTAATTTTATTTTGTGGGAAAGATCTTTCTTACATGTATAAACCAGAACAGCAGTGTTTTCCTTCAATGTTTTCTTAAATATGTCATCACAGTTTCCCTCACTAAGCCTGTAAAATGGTTCAGTGGGTTAAGGTACTTGCCCTTGCCCCCAAGCCTAAAGACTGATTTGGATCCCTGGTACCCCATGGTGGAGGGAGAGAACTCTGGTTCACACAGCCTGTTCTCTGACCTACACACACCCTAAATAAATATAACTAAAATGTTTTAATTTCTTCTGATGTGACATCTTTGTCTTAGAGAACTTCTTACGTACCTACTCAGTCATGGACACTGATCTTCACTGGAACAATACTTTTGTAAATTAAAATTGAGCTTAATTTGCCCCCCACCCCTTCTAGAGTACGTTTGGTGACCTTTAGCATATTCATCACATGTGAAATCACCACCACTGTATAATTTCAGAAGATTTCTCTCATCTGCAGCAGAAGCCCCAGGTGTATCAGTGGCCACTTTTAAGTTGCTCTTCCTCAGCCCCTGGGAACTGCTGATATACTTTCTGCCTGTGGGCTTGCTGATTTGGGGCATGACATAAATGGAATCCTTAGATATTGTGGCTTTTGTGTATGGGTTCTCATATATGTCCTTGTTTAATATGTACTAATAGCCCATTCCTTTATATGGTTGTATGTTTACCTATTCACTGATCAGCAAGAATAGTGACTTTTATGTTTTAAATATTAAAATATGTAACTTAAAACTAGTGTATCCACTGTTAACAGTGGATGACACCAAGATTATACATAGTATGAATGCTGTGTAGAAACTGTACACAGATTAATCCAGAAATCCCAGCACTTTAGGAGACAGGCAGACAGATCTCTGTGAGTTACACTGGAGTTGTTATACAGAGACACCCTGTCTTGAAAAATCAAGAAAAGGAAAAAGAAATGGTATGTAAATTATCAATATTTTGTGTAAGGGTGATGTTTTTGTAAGGGCCTTTTAGCTCTGGTCTTAAGAAATGCGTAAATGTAGTATTTTCATCAATAAAAGTTAATACCTTAATTAGTAAGTTGATATTTGTATGAGAACATTAGACAAATAGAAATTGTGTACTGTGTGTCTGTCATGTTTTGAATTTATTTCACCTTTCATTATTTGAGAAAAACAACATGGAAAGGAAGTGGTTATATATAATTATGCAAGAAGTATAGTGTGTAATTGAGTCAATATGTTTTTAAATAATTTTTTGTAACACATCAAATATTGTATTTTAATATCATTTAAAATTATATCTTTGTAAGGGAAAATCCTCTTTTCTTCAATAGAAGACTTTTGGAGGTATTTGAAAATGACTTTGAAAACACTCATTTTCCCTGAAAATTGTTCATTTGGTGTTGTTAATTCAGTGTACAAGATTAAGAATAATTTTGGTATCTTTTTTTTTTTTTTTTTTTTAAGGGCCTGCTGTGCATTTACCAGTATATAAGAAGTATGCTATGGTGAGTTGTTGAAGTTACTGTTCTACTGTCATAGAGTGATTTAATACTAGTTACAGGAAATCTTGTAGTGCCTCACCAGTTAGGTCCCTTAGAGATTCATTTCCAGCTTAATCTCCATAGCAAGCTTACAAGGTAAGCAGCAATACTGTTCATAAGTCATGCAAATTGTATACAGGATGTTTAACTATATATTGTCACATAGCTAAGGGGTGAAGGAAAGGCATTTTTTTATTATGTTTGTGGCAGCTATTGTCCTGTATTATTCACCCTAATGATTTAGCAAATATTGACTGAAACAGATTGTTCTCTGTTAATTCATTTACCATGTTTTTACTTAAGATTATAGTGTATACTGCCAGTTCCCAAATGAGTACATGGCAGATCTTTCAAAATCTGCAGTTGTAAATTCAACTCAGTACTTTCCCTAGTCATTACATAGTATACCAAGTCTTCTTGAAATGGTTGGTACCTTTATTCCTGTTTACTAACCAAAAATCTCATCTGAATAATTTTGGCTTGAAGCCTGCTTTCTCAGAATAATCTGTTGATAAAGGCAAAGAGACCACATGACCAATTCACATTCCCAAAGTTCCTCTGAACACTGTATAAAATGTGTGACCAAGTCTTGAGTGTATGAGTCCTTTGAGATACCCCAATGGTAGCATTCTACCTCTGGCCCTTCAAACACTCATGTCCATCTTATAATATAAAATATGTTGTTATATCCAAGTGTGCCAGTTCAAGTATTGTTCAAAAATCCAAGCCTCAGCTTCAAAACAAATGTTTACCTCTATAAAACTCAAAAATGTGTTGCATTCTTCTATGATAGAATGTCACAGAGTAAATATCCCATTACAAAAGAAAAAAGTAGAAGAACAGCAAAAAAAAGCTGGACCAGAGCAAGGCCAGAACCCAGAAGGACAGATAGTAAATACTGTAGCACCCTGTCTGGAGTGTGGTGCAAACTGGTAGTGAACTTGTAGACCCTTGGGAGTGGTTACAGCCTTCTTCACAGTGTTGTCCTTTAAAGCCCATGTGGTCCCCTTGTGGGCTCTACTCGTTGCCCACAGCTTTTTTTCTTAACATGTGCTCCACATTCCTGACATGACCAAGTTCTGAGACCTCAGCAGAAGCCTCAGTTATAAAGTCACTTCAAGTGTGAGCTGGTGAGGACTCTCTTTTGTTGTTGTTGTTTTGTTTTTGGTCTGGTGTAAATTCTATGCTGCTCTAGTTTATGTTAATGATACTAAGTTTATATTTGTATATGGGCATATCTGCAGGGGAGGGTCTTGTCCATTTGAATACTCATGCTTTAAATACCTTGTGCATTAGATGAAGGTATTTGTTCTTAGAATCCAAAGTGGGTCTCCTGGTATCCTCTTACTGTCTGCCCTGAGCAATTATTGTGATCAAAGTCTTCTTTTCAACCACATGTCCTGATTTCTGTGAGGTTATCTACATCATTTTATGGAAACTATATATGAATTACATCATGGTATACATTTTTTTATAGACCAGATTATGTCAACTGCCCAATATATACTCTATGTAGAGTTGTTTAGACAGAAATTTAGTAAAAGTCAGTTTTAGAGAAAAGCTACTAAGCAATATCAAAATCTGTTTCTTCCCTGTTAATGGTGTTGAGTCTTCTGAAACACCTTTTCCTAGTTCCTAGAGAGCAGAAGCATGACCTCAGTCTACATGGCTATTCCAGTGTGCTACTCCGTCTCACATCATTGGTAAGAAAAACACAGACCCTTGGCTATACAGCTTTCTTTAAGATGGATGGTAGACAGTAAACACAATAAACTGTATACCTTAGACAATCACTGCTTCTACAAGAGAACAAAATGTCAAGCAAAGCAAGGCAGATTGACAGTTCACACTGGGTATCATGTTGCCTCACTCGAGCATCACTCTCATGGGTTAACTGCACATACATTAACACTCGATATAGTCTCATAATGATGTCCACTTTGTCATAATTTTTCACATTTATAAGGCTCTAATTTAATGGCCAGTTGGAACTATTAAGATGAATCCAAAGTGCATTGTAATTACTCTCAAGCTTTTTCTAATGATTCTTTTGAAAATCAGAATGATAGGCAGGTAAGTGACAACTAAAAGTCAATAGAATGTCTTGAGTATGTCTCTGACTTCCAAGATTTTAAGGATGAGCATAATAAAGGCAGTTCTTCCGTGGCTTCACAGTTTCTCAGTTTCTGGATGTGGTTGACATTCAGAGCCACAATGTGCCGTAAGAAGGTGTCTCAGGATGCATAGGTCACTTTCTTCTCTTTTGGGTTCATGCTGAGGATGTCACAAGGTAATAGCTGAAAACACATTCACTAAGTTAACTAGTAAAGAATGGAAGTTTTGACAGAAAAGGGGTATTCTCATTTACCACAGTTCCTGTCTTGATGGACACTGTTAGCTTAAATGGATTCTGGAAGGGCAGATTTGTGATGGTCAGAAAATGAAGAAAAACAAGATTTTTTTTTTTTTTTTTTTTTTTAAATCAGAAATAAAGATGATACTTAGAAGTAAAAGTGGCTGGAGCAATGGCTCAGTGGTTAAGAGTACTTGCTGCTCTTCCTAGGGCCTCAAGTTCAATTCCCAGTACCACATGGCACCTTACAACCATCTGTAACTCCAGTTGTAGGGCATGTGACCCTCTGCTAACCTCTGGCCACTCCATCTGTTGAACACAGACATGTGCAGACAAAACACTCATACACACAAATAAAGTTAAACTTTAAAAAGAAAGGGAATATGTAGAAATTGATCTAAATGGAGGTGACACAAACAGCAAGCTTTTCCATTTGAACTTTAGTTTGTTTTAGAATCTCCACCCCCTGCTTGTGAATTTGGGTACACTTGTACACACGCATAAATGCATCCACACTCCTTTGCACACATGCAGCAGATTTCTTTACCTGACTGTTTAGTTCTTCCCTTTTGAGTCACACAAGCATTCATAAATGCCATTGGATAAGTATCATGGTCAACCATAGAGTTCATATATTTGTGGATAAAAATAAGTCCTATTAATTTTATATTGCAATATTCTACTAATAGTAGTAACAATATGATAACATTGAGGGTGGAGGCATTTTTTTTTTTTCAGGATGATTGAAGTTCTTAGCCATCTTTGAGCATCTGGCGTACTAGGAGACTAGGAGTTCACTTATACAATGGAATTTCTATTGCTGTGTTCTTTCCCTTTCTGCATTAAGGTAACATATGGTCCACACTTCAATATTTTTTTCAAGTCACTGAAAATAATAGCCATGCAAAGCTGCTCCATATTTTACCTCAGGTATGCTCTGATCATTGCTGTCACTATGAAGAGTCAGCTTCTTTTATTGTGTAACACACATGTAGTAAGAGGCCATTAGTATGTTCTCTGGGCCTGGAGGCCTAGACTAACACCAGGAACCATCTGAGTTTTTACCTCATTGGATGAGGCAAGTGAGGAAAGAGAAGGGACGCAGATAAAGAAAATGTGAACTTAGGAACAGGAATAGATGCTCTACCCAGAAGTGTAAGGGGAGGCACCCTTCTCTCTGGAAAGGAGCCAGAGGGAAGAAATTTCACAGAGAATCAGAATTGTGGCAACACTTCCTCACACAAGGTAGGCATTCAAAAATACTGTTTGAGCAGGAGGATAGAGCTGGTGGGTTGAAGAAAAACAAGCCTGTAGCTCTTCTATTATGGTAAATATGCAAAGCAAAACTTACAGTCCGTGTTTTAAACCACTCAGTGACATTAAGTACTTTCATCTTGGTGTTCAGCCATTACCATTGTATCTTCCCCCTTTCCCATGATCCTAGTGACATCATACATGACAGCCACAGCTTCTCATCCTCTCCTTGTGCCTTCTGTGAATGCCTCATCTGAAACCATACAACACTCGGCTCTCTGTGACGGTTGTATATCCCTTGACGGGAAGCTTTTAAAGTCACATCTGTTGTAACAGAATTATACTCAAGTTGTGTTTAGACCACACGGTAGTGTCCATTCCTCTTCTGATATTGTCCCTCTCTTTTTCAGCTCTTTAAGTTCATGTTCTAACAAGACCAGGAGCCAGTTCTCACCACCATGCCATGCCAAAGTCCTCCTTAGCTTTGCCTTTATGTCTTCACTGTTCCCTTGGCACACTCCCAGTTGGCATAACTCAATCGGATGACTTATGTGTCTTCCAAGAATCCATGTAAGTATTTATCAAATCATATAGAGAAATCTAATGGTTACTGCCTTTCAATAATGACTATTTGCGTTTGTCATTTGGCCACCTTGTGTTGTAAATGATTGTTTATAATAAGAAAAAAGGCATGTTTCAGTGTGGTGGTGGTGGTGGTGGTGGCGGCACAGGCTTTTAATCCCAGCACTTGGGAGGAAGAGGCAGGTGGCTCTCCCTGAGTTCGAGGCCAGCCTGGTCTACAAGAGGTAGTTCCAGGACAGGTTCCAAAGCCACAGAGAAACCCTGTCTGGAAAAATCAAAAAAAAAAAAAAAAAAGAAAAGAAAAGAAAAGATATGTTTCTCAAACATTAGCACTTCAAAGCTGTTTAAAAAATGTGAAATGCTGATGCTTAGGAAAGTGGTCCTTATGAGCCAGGCATGTATTTTTATCATTTTATGTGTGGGGGTGTGCACACAAAAGCATGTACACTAACGTGGAAGGCAGAAACTAATTTGCAGGAGGCAGTTCTCCTTGCACCATGTGGATTCTGATCAGAGCTCAAGTTGTCAACACTGGCAGCCAATACTTTACCCCCCCCCCCCCGCCCGACACCCTGCTGCACTATAGGTGCAAGCTTTGAAAGTTCGGTTTAGTACTTGGCCCTGGTTCTTCCTGTCACAACAAAGCCCCACTAGTTTATATGTTTGTACCTGTTGCCTCTTATTTCCATAGTTTCAATTTCAGATAATTTAATGTGAAAAGGGAAGTTATATTATTTCAAGATAGAGTGGTACAGTGCAGGTCTCTGGTAAAAGTGTTTTTAGGGATGGCAGCTGACACATTGAGGTGGAGGTGGCCTAGGAGGAGGGCTA